TCCAGTATGTCCCCAAAGCAGCATGCATCAGGATCTAAGTACAGAAAGACGTACGTGTGCACTCTATGAACCAGACTCTCCTGTGTTGGCATGACATTGAGCAAGCTTAACTTTCGACATAGGTAAGGACCCTACGGGTGTTCATGCATACTCGACGACAAGCAGGTTTGATGTCAGCCATGGTTTTGAAGACAACTTCAGGTTGGTGGTCTTCGTCCATGCAATTGATGAGGGACTCCAAAGCAGTCTCCGCACATCCTGACCCTGTAAACTCCGTATACATACAAATCTTTTTGTACGGTGTCACAAAACCGTTTGCCTTAGCTTGCTGGCAAAAATGTCCAGCCCAAGAAAACACATCAGAGCATCGTTTGTCAAGACCGTAGTTGTCAATCTCTGCTCCACAGCCATGATTGTCTCCATTGGTTGGTCGAATGACAGTGTCCTGTGAGTAAAAGGCGGCGAGTACCTTTTCATGGTTGTTAATTTAAGATGCATTTTGACATCATTGGCGGTCCTGTGTTGGCTTTTGTTTCTTTGAATGTGCCACCTACCAAACACAGGACAAGAAAGAAGGACTGACAGTAACTACACTGTAGTTGCTATTAGTTTGTGTATGTTTGTGTAGTTTGTATTTGCACTCGCACTCTGCTTGTTGTTGCTGACAGTGCCCAATACTCCTCACTCCCAACGCTCCTGCTTCACTTGCGCTGCTCGGACGGGATTTTCCAGTGGAACAACACCCTCCTGCAGCATCAGGCAATGCACAACTGAAAGAAACAAGACATTCAAGGGGTTGGTGAGGCCTCACCCAAACACCTGTGTTGGTTTGGGTGAGCATTTCCAACAAAAACATGTTACTTACGTCTTGTTGACCAACAAAAGTGTCTCATTGACCAACTCGACTTCAGCGTCTCCTCAGGAAGTCTTCTCTTTCGGTGTTCCTTTTCACTTTTGAACTCCTCCAATCAAAGCAAAACAAGGTGGCCCTGGGTTGAACAATCCTTGGTCCGTTGGCAACACAATTCTAGAATGGAGTTGCGTTCCTGCATCCATCACTCACTGGCTTTTGATTGAAGGCAAAACTTGAGAATCAAAAGCAGTACAGTGCCACAGCGCTGTCCTGCTTTGATTGCAGCCCATGTGGTGCTTCCCCCTGAGAATCCTTGAAGCATCACAGGCTTGCTGAAACACTTGACGGATCAGCGTCCACCTTTGCTTATGTATGATTCATATTCATATCATATTTTTAGTCTTGAGTTTTGAGTGAACAGTTTGCAGGGACAGTTGAAATCACATGCTGTCCTGCAGCTTCACAGCCACCTGTGTGCTTGAGCATGGCTTTCTGCGGTCCTTCAAGTATCAGAGATGGTTTTGAAAGCACAATGTTTTCGTCAACGCCCTGTCTTCAACAAAACTAGGCAAACACGCCAAAGCAAACTATGGAACTGGAACGCAGCAGCATAAAGAAGCCATTTGTCCTTCACACGTGAAAAGTCCACCAAAGATATGGGCAGGTCGTCTTCGTCACCACTGTCCATCTCGCTTCCACTTCTACACAACATTGCTGCAAACAGGTTCGGTTGTCAGACAAAGAGTGTATGTAACCCAACAATGCAAGTGACTTGAGATTAGCTAGCCTCTTCCTGAAATCAGGTTAAATCAATGATTTCAACAATCACATATGAGAAGTTGAAACATGTGAAGGACACGAAACACTCATCGTTGTCCTTGATAAAACCAAAGCGTCCTGCGCTACAAACATCCAGTGGCACATGCGCTGCTATCCTGCAAGTCCTGGTTCTAGGTTCCTCCTTGCAATACTGCTGCTGAACAGTCACGAATGGTGCTGGTACAGTACATGATCAAGATTGGAATGGAATGCATCTTTTCTGAATTTCAATACGGCATGATTGATTCATGACGTGGATGGCATCAAAATGCCACCCGTCGCAGCATTCAGAATCCTTGGGACACTACTAAATGCGTCTTATCTGAAGTCTTGTCACACTAGCTCGTTGACCTTGTCCCAGTAGAATTGAAGGACCTCACCAACTTGTGCGCAGCTGGGGTATGACATGTTTTGGCATCAAGAATCAATAACAAAGTAGACAAACACTACAGAGTGAAAATCAGTCACAACAACTCACGATGGAAGCCTGATCTTCACAAGTCCTCTTCCGGCTGTAGACCAAGTCAGCTCCCCAGAATCGTTTGCCTGCTTGGTCCACTCCTGAGTTTAGTATATGTATATATGTATATATACCATATACTATGCAGATCTACGCAGTATTAGTTTTTATTTAGATGTGCACATCAAATCACACAGCACATTGTAGACTGTAGTTCAGTGTATCTGTAGTGTAAGTGTATATTACCATAAGATTTGTTTCATATTTGTGTGTGTTTGCGTGTGTCCGACTGTCAAACAAGGTCCAGGGACAAGAAACAGACGTTGCAAACAAGACAAGACTCGCCAACAAGCTTCCCGGACAGAATCCCTTGGAGGTAGTGCTCGATACTGAGGCTCTTGAAGGACCTCCCACAGGACGGGAAGCAATGTCTCGCAAATCGTACGGTGTCCTTCAGTACGAACATGTGGTGTAAATGTTGGCACTGGCACTACTTGAGGTTGAGGAGGCACTTGATCATCCATGGTGTCGCTGTCTGGCTTCGGAGCAGACTCGGGTTCATTGTGTGCGCTCCCTTCTTCACCTACATCATTTGATTCATCCAGCTGTGTGTCGTTGTATGGCGCAGGCACAGGCTCCTCCTCATTTTCTTCATCGCTAACCAACCAGCTGGAGCAAACTGCGGCCTCGATTCTGCTTGTGCTTGAAGCAGCAGGTGCATCTGCTTTGCTCGTCCTCAGGCAAACCAAACCTGCTTCCTCAAACATTTTATCAATACACACAAACATCAAAGATAAAAAACTTACCTGATAAGCTCACATCCACAGCGGCTTGACCTTTGGATCAGACTCCGGGTCCGAGTCTGGCATGTCAAAATCAACTGCCGCGCCAGCGCTGCCACTGTTGCTATCACTATCTTCAATGACCAATGGCTCTGACTCTTGAGCAGATTTGGCCTGACCCGTATCTCTGGATATTTGTTTCCGGCGTGTTGGCCTGGTTGACTGCTTTGACTGGTTCAAAGAAATGTGCTTCCTCTTTCTCAGAGCCCCAAAGAAATCATTGTTGGTTCTGGGATCATCTTTGATGTCTCCTGGCGCAAACACATTCAGAGTTCAAAGTTCAGACTGTTCAGGCACAGGCACCTATGGTGGACACACATGAGGTTGACAGAAACGTTGTGGGTTGCACACCTACCCTTAAACCTGTCCTTTGAAGAAGCCACACAGTGCTTCAAAGCCCTTACCATTCATTGTCTTTGGAACCTCTTGACCTTCCAAGCCAACTTGCATCGCCGTCAAGATCGCTTTGTAGTACCCTCCATTTTGGCAAGAGTGTGAAAATATGTTGTCCTCCTCGTACTTTCTGGCCTGGTCGTATCCTAGTTGGTAGGTGTGTGGGTTGTGTTTCTAGTGCGCGGGTCAAATCCAACCAGCTGAACAGAACAACACCTCACAGAAAAGAAAATGTCTTTGGTAAAGTCAACGTCTCTGTCCAGCAAAATTGCATAGTATGCATGGTGCTCACATTTGCCATTGAACGTCTTGTTGTCCACTGACCCATGTTTGCCAGACTCTCCCTTTCTCCAACCGCGGGAAACAAGCTGTCGCCTCAAGGACCACAAGCTGCGCTGCAAGAGGTCTTCAGGTTCTTGCGATAGCTTGGGAGCTGACAAGTTGGTTGCAAACACCAAAGAGCTGGAATGGAGTAAGAACTGTCCTTTGGAATTCAAGTATGCCAGCTGACGATCTTGCATCCACTTGGCTGCTTCTTCCTGCTCCGGCGCTAGAGTTTGCGGAACGGCGCTGCTGGCACATTGCTTGCCAAGATCACAAACCACTTTCCTAGTTGGTGAAGGCGTTTTAGCTTGAAGCGCAAGACAATGAACACTAAACTAACACACTATATACTATAAACAACGTCTCACACAAAAGAACAGGACAACATAAGACTGTTGCCAGGATCTGTCCAAGGAACGCTAGGTTCTTATCAAGGATCACTCCACTTTCAGCTTCAGGGTTCTCCAACATCTCTTCAATTGCTGTCAAAGTGCGTGGTGTGCTTCACAGACTCAAATTGATGCAGGGAAAGAATCCTATTTGCCACAAAGAGCTCTTTCAGCAAGAGTGGTTGCACAACATTGGACCAAGATACAAAAGACGTCGCACGGTCAAGAATAGAATCAGAGCCGTCCACCACACCATTTGTTTTGGGGACTTGAAATGTCCCCAGAACAGCAGTCGCCAAAGTTCCCTTCCAATCATCAATGCTCCACTGGGTCAATCTTTGGATGTATTTTTTTTTGCCTGGCCGGAAGCCCAAGAGCTGAAAACACAGCCAGGCGGTGGCCGACTTGTCGTCTTGATCCAAACTTGGAATCGCATAGTATCCTCCTTTCCTGGCCAAAGTAATAAAGTGAGCAAGCTGCTCAAGCTCTTGCTTGTCACCGCTCCCACCACGCTGTGTCGCATCAGGGTCAAGGATCATAGCTGAATCCGCACTTCTGTCTGCAAACATGAGTTCCAGATTATGTCCGGTTGTTAATTGTTTTGAGCTCGCGGAAACTTCCCCAATCCTCTTGAACCAGCTGGGAAACATTTTGGAGATATCTGGTCAGGTTCGACCGCAATGATTCTTCCAAAATGTCATTGTGAAGTGCACGGCGCAAATTTGCTGACATATGTGCTACTGATAGAGACCGTGACGCTGAAATGCGAACCTTACAATTCAGCGGTGGTTCCGCAGCCGGCCCGGTTACAACAACGTTTTAGAGGCTCAGGACTTAGGATCCAGGCTAGGTCAAAGATCAACTATATAATATAAACTATAAACGTTCTTGACTCTTGACTCTTGATTTTAAGTCATCAGTCAGGGAACGTGTACCAAATGGTGCTTTGCTTCCAGCCGCCGCATGACCAGCAAAGCACACCCCCAAGCAACAAGCTGGCGGAACAGTGGCTGGTTCATGAACGTGTCCAACCCTCTCCCCCATCGTTCCTGGTTTGCAAGGGCAAGCAGTAAATATAATAGTAATGACATACTATAGACAGTATAGCAGTATAGCAGCTTAAAAAGAAAACAACACATTGACGCGTGACGCAACTACCCTTTGAACTGCAAAACATCCAATACAAGTTCAATTGCCACACAGAAACGAGTTTCAAGGGCTGTTCGGTGTTGGCGGAAGAACTCTATGCCGACGTCACCCACATTGCCGAGCTTGTTGGAATCATAGTCAGACAGTACTTGTTTTGTCCTTGCTCTGCTTCTTGAGATCGCGGCTTGGTGGTCTTCTGAAGGCAATAGGTATTCCAATAACCTTGGGCCGGTATCTCACACAACTCACGATTGTTTTTCATTTTAGAGTTCATAGTTCATAGTACAGTTGATAGTAGATAGTAGATAGTATAGTTCAGCCGCGCCACCACCTTTGTTCTTATTCTGAATTTCAACTTTGCATTACAAGGAGACAGTCTTCATGACAAACACCAGAATCAAAACTCAAAACTTTAAAACTTAAACAGTACCCAGTACCCAGTGCCCAACCGAGCAGCCCCACCAAGTTCCATGGAGTTTGCGCCAGAAAAGATGCATACTGAACGAATCGTGCCTCTAGCATACGCTTGGCAGTGGCGAACCCTTCCAGAATGGTGTTCGCCTGAGACAGGCAATCTGCACTTGTCAGCCTTCGTAGGGCAGCCAATGAAATAGGATCATGCTCCATGGACAACCGCCGGAGATCTTCAACAAATGGTTTTGGGCCACAGCAGGCAAACTCAATCAAACGCCTTCCCGACCACCTGCAGGTTGCTGTTCTTGACCCTGACTCTTTCTTGAACCGCTCCTTGTCCTAAGTGCTCCGCTTCAACACAAGTTCATTCTAGTATTGTTTATTTGAACTTTGAACTTGACTTGAACCGGAACCTACTTCATTGTTATCACCTTCTCAAATTCAAATATGCGCAGCCCGCCAGTCACAAAACAAGTCCTTCCTCATGCTTACTATTGACTGCTTGATTCCAACCAAAAATTGAACAAACAAGTACCAGTACCAAGGTAAGACAAGAAGCTTCCCGGGATGGATGGCACCAACAGGAGTGTAGCCATAGGCTAAGATCATGACCCCACTGGCAAATTAGTCGCATGCCATGGGCCAGCCCCCAAAAGGTTGCCGCTACAGCTTTGTCATTGAACAACAGCTCTAAGCATTTGATTTCAGCATCAGAAAAGGAGTACTCCGGGTCCCCATCCTCACGCGCACTGATGGTGGAAGGGTCAAGCCACATGAGAAAATCGGCCCGCCGCGTAATCCACACCAATACTTCATACCGGTATTCCCATCTGTGCTTGATGAAGGATGGGCATGTTGTCTGGAACATTTTTGCAATACTGGCTTTGAGGGCAGCGCCTTCAATCTTGGAGTTGTTCAGCACAAAAAGTTTACGGAAACGCTCGCAGTTGTCCGCTTTAGAGAAATACTTTGCCAGGGTATTCAACTGTCGATCAAAAAGTTCAAACTGTTCAGCGGGCCAACATTCCCGTAACTCTTCCATTGTGTGATGTAACGAATGGTCCAAGTCATGCAAAGGCAAGGTGTTGGCAAACGCTCTCCTGTTGACATCAGAGTCGACATCTGGGATGATTGCAAGTTTGCTTTCCACCCCCATATCGTTCAAGAACGTGGCAGTTCTTGTCCTTGCCCGTGAAGAATCACCTGTCTCTAAGTGCAAGCTTCTCAGAAGTGCTCGAAACTTGTATGCTGTAGATGTAGCTTTTCTTCCAAGCACTTGGACTGGGAGAACCCGAGTTTTCCATGTCAAAGATTCCAGCACTGTGGTTGGCTTCAAACTGAACACCTGGTCCAAGACAACGTAGTCCAGCTCAGTTATGAGGTAGTCCCGTGCAAATTGGGGTGAGGAATCTGCTCTTAGGTGTAGGGCCCATGTCAAGTCGTCTCTGTAAAGGTGCTCTCTGCTCCACCTGAGCAACAGCTGGCACCGGCGCAACATTCTTCGATGTTAAAGTTACAGTCAGTTAAAGTACCATGCAACCACGCCGCGCAACTCAACAAAGTGTTGTCAACAAAACTGCAAAGGCAAAAGCGGCGAAAGGCAAAAACTGCGGCAAAACATATACCAAACTAAACAATAACGTTGTGAGTCGCAGGCGCAATAGAGTGCAGTAGTCAACCTTGACCCTGAAGGAGTATATTGTAGTCCTTCGTGGAAGGTGCATGTCCTTGCCAACAGGTGCGAAATGATGCCAGTGACTCTACCGCCATGGTACCCCCTACAAGCTACGGTCACCTTGACAACCTTGTGTCCCCAACTCCATTGACTATGCTGCAAATGACTCTGAGACTTTGGGACTGGGACAAAAAATAAGTCAAGCCCCGCCACTTGTTTTGTGAAGTGGTCGCTCATGTCTTTCTCCAAGACAAGCTTCATCGCCCTCACATGTTTGAAGTTCGAAGAAGCACCGATTATCGATTTGATACACTACCGTTGGGTTGAATTTGATTTTAGGCCCCTTCAGCCTTGTATAGTCCAGATCCAGGAAAGTAGAAGAAACGAAACCACAAACAAAATCCTGATCAGCAAAGGAAAGGATCAAGCAAATTGCTTTCTTCATAACATCGGTCTCTTCCTGAAGGCTCCGAACTACATCGCAGAAAATGACGGTGTCCAAAATGAAATTTGCTGCGTACTGCCACCCTCCCCGCTGCCGCGATTCTCTTCCAGATGTCACCCACAAAGCTTCCTGCAGCTTTAAGACATCTTGCTTGGCTGCCTCTACGTCACTTGCATCAAGACTCTGAAGAATACGGTCAAACAGTAGATCAATGGCTGACGGTGGTGTCGGAGGTTTGCTTGGATGACTGCCTGGCACCACTACTGCCCGACCCGCTGCAGTTGATTTCGATTTCAATGTCGAGCTTGATTTTGTGCGGCCTTAGTGTTTAACAGTTTAACAGTTTTTTTTTCATATGTTTGTTTGTTTGTGTTTGTGTTTGGGTCTCCGGCCCGGATTTGAGTTTAGTTTAGTAACTAGGAACTAGGAACCATTAACCATTTTAAGGCCAAGGCTGAGCCTCAGAGTGAAACTTACATTACGTATCCTTACGTTACAAGTCGTCACTGGACTCGGACCCAGATTGCCAGCAAGGTGCTAGTTTGGCTCTCAACTCTGTATTGTGTTTTGCTTTCCAGTGTAGCCATGCGCACATTGTTCTCCCAGTCAGGATCTCCAAACAAACGGGCCAACTTTGACAAAGAGACGTGCTGCCCATTCTCTTTGTTCTCAACCAAAATGGTCTCCTAACAATGCAGGGAATAGTAGCAGACTGACATTACTTCATGTCCCGTCACGCCAGTTCCAACGTTCCAAGGTCCAACTTCAACCACCATAAACTTTGACCCTAGCCGCAACTCTCAAACTTTACCCAGTCGAGTCGAGTCACGAACCGAACCTTGAAGTATTTCACATCTGGACCTGGGAGGCGGCACATTTGTCTTCTGCCTTGCAGCAGCACTTTGCATTCAACTGGCTCAATGAAGCGGCCCCGAAACATGACCTCGTGCTCACTTGATTCATCTCCGCAGCGAAAAAGCGTCAGCTCGACAAAGTAAGCTCCACCAGACCTTGCTTGACTTGAATTTAATTCAGTTCAGTTCAGTTCTTACTCCATACATGTAAGTTCTTACTTACTTCTTAGTTCTATATTTCTATGTAAGTTCTTTTACCTTTTCTGTAGGCGCAAACGCAGTCTTTGACGGGAAGTCTTAGCCTTTGCCTTGGCTCAGCCTTACACTCCTTGACAATATGGTCCGACAATCCGATACTGATGCTACTGCATTACCGGTTACGATTTCATCATTCATTCGTTGAGTGTTGAATTCAGCGGATCGCAACCTCGAATTCTGAATTCAGCCGTGAAACTCATCTCTCCATTTGGACCGGAAGAAACACCATATGAGCGCCCCTGCCAGTCGATTGTTTTTCCAGGTCACCAGCCCGCTCGTGTTAGAGTCAGCGTCGTTCCCTGCATTTTGTTGCTGCTGCAGCGGCTGCATCAATTCATGGCTGTGTCACAGTGTCCGTGACCCGAAACTAAACATCTGAGAAAGAATCTCCCCTGAAAAGTGGTTAGCATGCCCGGCATACCTATTGTTGCTACTAGCAATCTCTAGGTTGGAAAATTGCAGGTGCAGTGCAACACTTGGGATACTTTGGTGGAAATTTGTGTTGCACGTTACATGAGTTACATGATAGAAAATCAGGGCCAGCTTGAAACTTGGACATCAGGTTAACTAGATTAACTAGCCTCTCTGCTACCGTGCCAGCATGTAGCGGGGCTGGCGAGTAACAATTCTGCGCAAAATCCTTTGCCAAAAGAGCGTTATGTGCTCTTCTGTGTTTTTTTATGGCATAATGGTCGCAATTGGCCATGCATAGACGAGACCTAGGTGTGTATATAGGGGACCTTCCCCCGAAAGGTCTCGTTGACATTAGTACCCAAAATCACCTAGGGAACTCAAAAACTGATTGTGGGAACCAAAAATCACCAAGGGAACCCAAAATCCGATTGTGGGAACCCAAACTGATTCTGGGAAACAAAGACGCTAGGGAAGGGAAAGTCGGAATCTGGGAACTGGAAACACCCAACCCTCACTTTGGAGATCTTGAGGGTCTGGAAATGGACCGGATAAATGCACTTTGAAGATCTCGACGGTCTGGAAAGCATTGTCTTGCTGATGTTGATGTGGTGCCCTGGTGCCCTTTGCCTTCCCGAAGCAGACATGCACCTTATTATTTATGATAGCATGTCTTCCAGTTTTACATGCGCCTTCAAAGTTGAATGTACTACACTCATATTATTGAGCAAACTAGATATCAAACATTTAACATTTAGTTTCAACAATTGCAGATAGGTTTGCTAGGGGCAAGAAGTGAAGGGTTAGCCCTAAGCATGCAAGCCTGCTAGTGTGTCATGATTGGCCTGTTTGCTATCAAAGTAAGCAGTCAATGCTCAGCTTGTGCCTACTCTCAATGTGATGTGAATGTGGTGCTCCTATGTATCGCATTTGGTGGCTATTTCTCTTGAAGAATGTGGTGTTGAAATTCTAATACTCTGCCATATATCCTTCTATGGCTGGCCCACCCAAGAGGAATTGGAGCATTTTCTTTTCAAAAATGCCTTCGCAGTGCTCAGTGGGAAGCAGCCTCACTGGCAGGGACCTCTGCAAGGGCTCTTTGCATTGCGTCCTTTGCCTGGCTCACACGGTCCAGAAGATCCCTGAGTCGTTGCGTCTCGCGCTCTATTGCGGTGTCGTCAATGCCGATCTTCTCTAACAGGCGCGGCGCCTCCTGAATCTTGTCATCCGCGTCATCCAGGAGGACAATGGTTTGCAGCACCAACTCCCTGATCTCCGCAAGCAACACCAGATCCGCGACCCTCTGCTCAAGCACTTCGGTGGCCGCCATGGGCGAAAGGCTGCGCTCAAGTTTGGGCCAAATTTTTTACTACAAGAGCAGCCGTCTAGACGCACATCAGACCCTCCAAAAACGAAAGGGAAGCTAGCAGCGACACAACTGAGCAACGCTGCATTTTTGCACTTTCCTCAGCAGCTGCGAGGATGGTATGGTTCTACATGGCTTCACATGACAGTGAGCCAAAGCTGCAACCCCGCCACTCTACAGCCGCAGTTGGGCTGTCAAAAGTTCGTCGACTTATGTCTCAGTGCTCTCACTGAGAGGCGCGACTCCCCGGCAAATCTACTTCTCACCAAAGCTCAGATGACTCCTCGCCATCCTCATGCTCCTCTGCATCCTTCTTGTTTTTCTTTTTGGGCTTTTCCTCAGCCTCCTCTTCCTCCCCGCCTTCCCCTTTCTCAACCTTCTTGGGCTTGCCCCGTCCTTTCTTGGGCTGAGGCTCCTCGACTTCTCCTGCTTTTCTTTTCGGCTGTTTCTTCTTGGGTTCAGCTTCCTTCTTGGGTCCGGTGCCTTGCTTGTCCTCTTCATCGTCTTTGCTCACAGAATCAGGGCGAAAGAAAGTCGATCCTTCGCGGGACAGCTCACCAAGGACGTGGTCTGTCAACAAGAGTTCCAGACAAGCACCGTGGCTCTCAGTGCCACAGATCGCCACTGCCTTGGTCCGGTTGGACAAGCAAGCCTTGAGGAACTCCCCTTGAGCAGGCGAGGCATCAATCACACTGGAGGCGCAGTATGAATGAATCAACTCGGTGTAAAACTCGGAAGGGGCCAGGCTGCAGCTGAAGCAAGTCTCGTGCGCCTCCAAGTCAGCAGGGCCCTTGCCTTCCACAGAGACAATCCTCTTTGCGCTCAGCAGATCCACCTTGTATTTCCTGGGAGGCCAGGAAAGCAATGAGGACAATGAATGGCTACCACGAAAATGTTTCATTTGAACATTATTGTTATTTCATGTAAACAGTCGAAAGTCGAAAGTCATGCAGTTGGTTTTGTGTCTCCTGCTCATCTTCCACAGCTGGGCAGGAGGTAACGCTGTCACAAAGGCGATGGCATCTCCAGAGGACCAACCAGAGTACACCTGGCGGGCCTTCTCAGGCAGGATCACACTCAAGGACTTCTCGGAGTAGAGTGTAAGCTCCAAACGTTGGGTGTAGCTATGGCTTCGAACTTTCTTCTTCCTTGCGCGAATGCTTTCCTGCAGGAAATTTGGGGATGAATTGGTGGAGCGGTATGTCAAGTTGCTAACATGTTTGTGAATGAACTTTTAAAGGCGTGACTTTGATGGATGATGGGGATATAAGATGGCCTCGTTGAAGCAAACCCACACCGTCTGGCTGCAAGCATCTTTGAAGAAAGTCTTTGGCACCACTCCTAGAGGGTCAAGCACAGCAGCCACAGTTCCTTCACCAGGTGCGCCGCACTTGCCGCTCTTGTCCTGCTGGGCACCAAGGGCGACGAGGGTAGAGCCAAGCAACTTCTGCGCGATCGCCTCGTCAGGTCGCCAGACCTTCCTCAAGCCCTCCTGGCATTCTGGACCGGTACTCTCACCCAACAAACTGGTGTCTAAGTGAACCAGGGTGCACGACTTCCCCACTTCTCCTGGGGAAAGGTTCTGCTGCTCCATGGTGGTCAGCATGTTTGCAGCAGTGGCGCTCTCAGGCACGAAGCAACAGTACATCCTCACAGTCTGGTTGGCGACCGCCTTCCAGTACTGGGGAGAGCCTTGTGGCAAAGTATTGGGCGTTTTACGGGCCATCTTCAAAAGGTCACTGTGTCCTCGCGCTTCGCTGGTCACATCCTCTTCGTCTCCACTCTGGTTCTCCAGGGCTTTCGAGGCAGCTTTGTCTTCTGCAAGCTCGTTGTCCCGCAAGTTGCAAACAACCTTCCAGACTTCCTGCACTGTCTCGATCTCATTCAGGATCTCCGGGTGGGAGTTGGGCTTCATGGCTTGTTTGATCAAATTGTCATAGGTCTTCAGAAAGACCACATCCTGGATGTAGGTCAAGGCTTCCAGGGAAGCCTTTGACAAACCAGCTTGCCAACTGACATGGTCAACAGTGTTCTCCCTGGCGGCCTTGGGGTCTGACAGGTGTTCCTTCAGCAGCGCCCGATCCTTGTCCGCGAGCTTGGCCTGAACAGCCATGATGTCCAAAATGTAGCTGAGACTGCGCCACTTGAACTCAAACAAGTGGATGAGGCCAACATTGTTCGAATTGCCGACCATGCTGTTCTTGTTCAAATCATCGTCCTTCAGGACCCCATGGCACAGCATGTCGTCAATCAACTGGAAGATGAATCGACGAGAAGCGACACAACTGGGTCGCTGAGCCAACTTTTCCAACTTTACCAAGCTGTTGAAGCAAGAGTCGGAGCCTTTCAAACATTCTTGTTTCTGGACAATGTCGCTGATGACTTGGTCAGATTGAAGCTTTGCGAAGATTGTCTTCGCCGCTGTGAAATTCCACTCGCAGTAGTAGGAATTCTCCATGGCGCTCTGGCCCTTCTGGGCTGTCATCAGGTGTTTACTTTTGAGGAGCTGCACGACCTCGGTCTCTGTGAGTTTCCTTCCTTCGATCTTCTCCATCAAAGCCTGCAATGGCATGCATTTCATGACACGCCAATTAAAACAGAAAACATGATTGTTTCATAGATGACTTGAAATTATGCAAAAATAAGTCGACATGAGATGTTTACACCAAAGAGAAAACTTGATGCGCAAGGTAGTGCCTGGAGGTGGTACAACTCAGCTGCGTTTTGCCAAGCCGTTCTTGTGAGACTCTCGTGCTCTTGCTGCAGCAGCTGGCGTCGGTTCAGCGCATGGACCCAGACATCGCCTTCCGGCACTTCCACCATGACAACAGGGACGGCTGTCCTGAGTTTTTCAGGAAAGGCTGAGTCAAATCCGGGAGTACAGGGTGTTGCTATGAATGGATATTGCAAGCTTGAAAAAAACCGAAGCTTTGGCCAAAGGTCAAGGCTTCGGCCCAGGCTTCTTTGCGGGCAGCTGTGACACCTGCCTGACCCAACTCTTCAGCTGCCTTCAGGAAAATGGAGTGGACGATTTCCAGGGGCGAAATCACCACAAGACCAGTCGGTTTGTCACTCAGGGCCGACTGGTCCACTTGAACCTCCAACAACTTCTGGAAAAAGTTGTTCTGGCGCTCGGCAGGGAAGTAGAAGTCCGCCAGTTGCTGGAGGCGAGCGCGGCTAAGTGGCACTCCTGGCGCAGGAGTCTTCCAGCTGTCCAGCCAGTACAGATTGCAACTGCAAATGTACGTGCCATGGGCTTCCAAGGCTATTTTGGCCTTTTCGAGCTGGTACACGTCCTGTCTTCAGGGATAAAGACGACATTGTGATGTTATTCTACCTGAATTAAATCCAAAATTAGATCCATGACGTATTAATTTATTAAGTGTGAGTCCTGGACCCCTGTCTTCTCTCCGATCGCAGTGGCATCATCTCCTTCAGCTTGGATCCCAGGGCCTTTTCAATCACTGCCAGGTCTTGCTTCAGGGCCTCATAGTATTCGCCATTGCAGGGCGGTGAACTGTCTGCAGCATCAGGAATTGTCATCCCCGAACGCGTAGTCTTGGCCGAAAGTTTTGTTTTGGCTGCAACACCACTTTGTTTCTCCAAGGAAGCTTTGTGCTTCGCTTCTTGGATCACGCGCACTAGGCGCTTCCTCTCCTCAGAGCGCTTCAGTGCCAGCTCTTCCGGACTCGTGTCCGGAGACTGGCGCGCTTCCCAGGCAGCAAGGTCAGCTTCTACTGACTTCTCCTCGGCTTTGTTCAACCTCCAAGCAGAAGGGTGCTTGGTCGGCATGGCTTCAGCAGCAGACGTATGCCAGAGGGCACGCAGAGCTTGAACAGGAAACAAACACCAGGTGGAGCAGGAGCATTGAAACTATCATATCAAGCCCAACCAATCCAAGGTTATTATTTAAAAAATGAGTTTCAAAAGGCAAGTGCACACAGACTGTAAACACAATGGTCAGAAAACCAGAGAGAAAAATAAATTTATCCCAGTCGGAACGCGAACCGCCACTAAGGGACAGTCGGAATTGTTGAATCCGCCGTCCAGCAGTCGGCATTGTTGAATCCGCCGGGATTTGCAAAGATGGCTGAACGCCGCTGTGTACAGTCTGCCATATAAGCCACTGTGCACACAGTCGGCCATAAGCCGCCGTACACAGTCGGCACACCGCCGTGCACAGTCGGCCATATAAGCCTTGAGTGATGAATACCGAAGCTTCGCGAGGATCCTGAGTCAACAAAGCCTTGGGCACACTTCCACAAATTCTACGATATATCAATACTAATTATTAATCACCTCCTCCAAAGTCATTCCGAGTATCAGAGACAAACACCAGAGGAGAGAGTTCGTTTGCAGCTAGAGGGCTGGCGGCCCAAGCGCGGCGCTTTCCCAGGCTTTTCCAATTCCAACTTTGTGGTTCGCATCTTCTTTCGCAAACACTCGTTCGTCTGGATAGACTCTGAATGCGATTGATGTCCTTTTCCAAATCTTGTTTCTTTTTGTTTTCTAATTTTGCCGCGGCCTCACCAGCTTCAACATCTCCGGGCAGCAGGTAGCCATTCTGAGCTGCTTCAACGGCTCAAGTCATGCGTCTCTTTTTTTGCAATTCCATCTCTTTGGCTGCCTTTGTTGAGAGACCGCTTGCGTCCTGCTCCACATGGACTTGTTGCGCAGAGCTAGCACCGGCTGCGCGCACTGAATCTCTTTTTCGTTTCAGGAAACTAGCTTCTGATGTAAGGAATCTTCCTTTTGAGACCCCTTTGTCCAGTCGTTGTTTTTTTTGTTTTCCTTTGTGCTGCTTGACCGCTCCAGCATATAGTCTCCGAGCACCAGCAATGACTTCTTTGTCCCAAGTTTTGTCCATGCACAAAAGCATCATAGATCGACGTTCTGTGTCAGCAGCCTTGGGCCCAAAGCTTCCCTCGTGAAAGCAACGATCTGCCTTTGAAAAACTCTGCTCGACGCCAGACCTGAAGTTGAAAACCAGCAGGATCCAGGCAAGGAAGCAAAAATAAAATTCTATTTCTACATCAATAATATCAGACAGGATGCGAAGAGGGGCTCCAACACATGTAAGCTTGCAAGGCCACAGGCAATGATTGCAAACCATATTTCTCACGAAGTGGACATGTCTTTTGGGTATGCTCGAAAGCAGCCCTCCAGGCTTCTCTATTCTCCAGGTTTTGGCACTGTTTTTGTGCAGCTGCTATTGGCCTGAGTTTTTCCCATTCTGTTTTCAACAGGAAAGGTTCCAACTTGAGGGCTTGAGCTATCCGCCTCAAACACTGAGAAATCTCAGTGGGAGTGTCGCCCCCGAATGAAGACTGCTCGCCCAGGTTGAAAACACACATGGAGTTCAACACTTCAAAATCAGGAAATTCTGCCTTTGCGGTGCACTCACAGAGCTGCAGCCAAGCTTGAAATTCTTGCAGAGCCTGTCGTTTCACTGTGTCGGAAACCATGAGTTGCTTGCCTTGCCCAAAGGCCAGAGCATAGAGCTGCCCTCGCTGCAAAACACCAAGCACATGTTTGGAGTAACCATCAATTTCCCAGACCTTGCCACAACGAAACTGAACATCCAACTCGGAGAGAAAAAATCCGATTTCTTGATTCAGCGCTGCTGGATCGCAGGCCTCATTGTCGAGGAAGCGGCAAAGCTGCATCAGGGCGTCGGCTCCATCGGCTGCTAGGGCAAGGAGGAGAATTTTTTTGGCTGAGATGTTGCTCAACCATGTTCTCGCCCATGAAGCATCTTCTCGCATAGATGCAGCCCTATGCAGTGTACGGAAAAAACTTTCCACATGCAGCAACATTCTGCCCAATGGCTTCGCAAAAGATGCGAATCTGTGTTTAGCAGCCGAAAGACTTGCGCATCGAGGGCCCTTAGAGTTCTGGTGTACATCATCTTCAAACCACCGGCTAAAGATGTGCGAATGGAAGATCTTCTGCACAGGAGAGTCTTTATCTCTCACGGTCGATGAAAAGACGTCCTGTTGGGGACTAGGTTTTGGAGAAAGAGAAATGGAGGGACAGTGGGGGGCACCTAAATAGATCATGTCGTAGTATGGAGATATTGGAAATATAACAGCAAATCATACATATACTTCACCACGAAGAGGGATTTCTCTAAACCCTTACAAGCAAACAAACTGCAACAAAGAATCCAAAAACTCCCACCAAACTTAGCTAAACTAAATATAAGGGCGGGGGGTGAAGGGTCAGCCTTATAAGCATGCAAGCATGCTCGTTCTTTTATCAACAATGACAAAGAATGTATATAAACAATTTTTGCTTGCGTGACATCAACAATCTCTCCTGGATGGCAGGTATACAAGCCCAAGGCCTCTTCACTAGCCGCGTCGATGCGTGAGCCCCATCTCGCCCTACCATGACAACATTGGGAAGGAAGGGGCAATGGTTGTGCCTTTCATCTGCACTCTTACGGTTACCCTTCATGATGTTGGACGCAAGAAGTTCGGCCGGATGGCTGTCAGTGGTGAGGATGTGCACAATCTTTCGTAGATGGGAGAGCAGCTTCTTGTCCAGACCCCCCTGTTCCGCCGCCAGTCTTTTCCCTAAACGAGGTGGTTGAAAACAAGCAGTGCAGAACACACGCATGGCTTTGGCGGTGGCGGAGACGATGTCTTCTGCAGTTCCTCCTTTCATGCGCACGCACCCAAAGGTTCCAGAGCAAACCTTTAACTGGCCATTGCACCCACGAAAGCGGATTAACAGTTTCCCTTTGCGCTCGTCTCTAATGAGGCAAAGTGTCTTTGCTCCAGCCAACTCTTTCCTCCAGATTTGAAGTAGGGCTTCGGAAAGGCACCAACGCAACAGTGATGTTCGGTCACTGGCAACACCACCATCTCTCATGGAGTGTCCTTTGCGCACCTGCGCTAAAGTCAACCCTTCAGAAAAGCCACCGCTTCCTGGTGCCTTTGGCCATTCTGGTGTCGCCTCAAGAGCCAACTCTTAGGCCGGGATTCCACAGTGAAGGTTTCGAATTCGCTTTTCCCTGTGTATAAGAGGTGCTCCTGCCGCCGACATGGTGTGGCCACAGGCCTCAAGGGAGCACCTGCCACAACAGATTCCTTCCGCCTCAGATGTTGAAACTGCGCACAGGGACTGCATCCAAAGCCATAACCTGGTGGATGTCCTAAACGACAACCATAGCGCAGCCAAGGAAAGAAAGATTTCCACTTTGGACCGCGGGTAGCCCGCCAGCACTTATTGCAGTTCGCGCTGCATTGCTTCAAGTGCCGTTTGGCACGAGTGTGGCTCCAAAGTCGTATTGGAGGCTGATCAGTGGTAGCACATTTCCCCATGGGCTACAACTAGTCGATTTGAGCCAAGAAATGGTAACAGGTAAAAAGGACTTCGACAGAAGTTTCGCACAACTAAGCTGACAGGAGCGTAACTCACCTTCCACGCAAGTTTGAACTCAAACATTTCATACCTTGGCGGCGGCGCGCAGGCTGCGATCCATCTACATCGCTCACCGCTCACTAGGGGTTGTTCGTCTCGTCGATGTTGAAGGTGCGGTTGATGTCCTGCTGGGCCGCGATGAAATTCTCCATCTCTGATTCAAAACTCATCGCCGCTTCACGCGCAATGCGAGCCGCAGTTCGAAGGGCCTGGGTTCCTCGCACCAAAGCACGGCTGAAAGACATAGCCCTGGCAGTGAGGTCATCCACCCGGCCAGCAATGGCCACGTGGGCCTCGAACTTCGACTTCGTCACTTGCAACTTCTCCAGGGCTTGGGCCGGCTCCTTGTCCTTGTTCTCCTCAGGCTGTTTCTCGGAGTCAGAGCTGTCCGACGAGGAGTCATCTTCGCTCTTTGCTTGGCCCTCTGCATTTTTTGGTGGGCTAGGTGGACGCACTTTGGTGCCAGAAGAGCGAGCGCGGCGACCTTCAACTTCGTCTCTGTCTGCTTCAGGACCACCACGACGACTTCGGTGAGTGTGGTCATCATCCCGACGGCGTTTGCGGTGCTTCTCATGGCGCCCCTCCGGGTCCTGGGCAGGGCGCTTGGGGCGATGCTCACGGTCGGCCGCTCGTGTTCTGGCGCCCCAACTTGAGCCCTGAGACTTGACTGCAGTTTGGAAAGACACTGACCATCTGAAACGCTGGCGTGAACTCAGCACGCCGCCTCCCCCAAAAAACACAAACTTCAGGTCATTTTCATTTTCTCACATGTACGGGTCAGTTTTTGTAACTGACGTCTTCTTCCTGTGTTTCTTTCCGCCACTTCTGCGGTTGACGCCAAACATCGCCCTACGCAGAGCTCGCTTGGACAGAGAAGGTCCTTCGTTGCTTGCGTCGGCTGATTGCTGCATCTGGACCTCGGCGTTGCTCTGGTCCTTCTTTGTTTTTTTTGCCCTTTTCTTTTTCTTCTTTTCTTTTACCTTGTCACCCTTTTTGTCGGCGGCCTTCTCCTCGTCGTTGGTCTTTGCCCTCGTCTCGCAAGGGTCGGCCAGTTCGTCACAAAGGTCTTGAAACGATGTCGCCTCCCATCGTTGGAGAAAGGCGTCCATGGCTCTATAGTCGTCTAAGTTTGAGCCACAAGTGGGCCACAAATGTGTTCAAAGCAGTGGGCCAAGCTCAGTGAGGGAATTCGGACACACTGCGCAGAAAGGAAGCCGCCGCGTGTTTTTACAGAATCAGGCTGACTGACGAATTGATCGAAGTCCACCGCCACGAAATCATTGAAGACCATCATCTCAGAGACAGTCGGTCTCAAACCGCCGTCTCAATCCCAGTCGGCGCCGTGGCCGCCGGGATAAGACAACAGTCGGCTATAGCCGCCGTTGCACTGGACCAGTCGGCGCGAAGCCGCCGTTCTGAAGTCGGCGCGAAGCCGCCGTGCCAAACACAGTCGGCGCAAAGCCGCCGTGCCAAACACCACAGTCGGCGTGAAGCCGCCGTGCCGGACACAGTCGGCGCGAAGCCGCCGTGCCCAACACAGTCGGCGCGAAGCCGCCGTGCTAAACACAGTCGGCGCGAAGCCGCCGTGCTAATCGATATCACAGTCGGCGCGAAGCCGCCGTGCTAAACACAGTCGGCACGAAGCCGCCGTGCTACACACAGTCGGCGCAAGGCCGCCGTGCTAATCACAGTCGGCGCGAAGCCGCCGTGCCGGACACAGTCGGCGCCAAGCCGCCGTGCCAAACACAGTCGGCCGAAAGCCGCCGTTCAAGGGACAGTCGGGGCGAAGCCGCCGTCCCAAGCACAGTCGGCGCCAAGCCGCCGTGCCAAACACAGTCGGCCCAAAGCCGCCGTTCAAGGGACAGTCGGGGCGAAGCCGCCGTCCCAAGCACAGTCGGCGAAAGCCGCCGCGTTGACCTTGTCGGTCTGTCTGTCTGTCTGTCTGTCTGTCTCTGTGGTCTCAAAATCACACAACTCAAGTCTTTTTCCCTTGGCAACCCATCCATCTAGATTTGCGACTATGGACCTACCGGTGCAGGTGGGCCAGCCAAATTCACATGATGATATTATTAAATAAATTAAAGTATTGAGGATGT